TTCTTCCATCTCAATATCACTTTTGACAATATCAATTGAAAAAGTTACATATTTTTTAAAGTAAAAACAATAAACTTCTTCCTCACCATAATAAATGACATATTAGACAAATTGTCTCGATATTTCTCTATTTATATATACAACAATTATATTTCTCATGGTAAATATATTGTACTCCTAGGATATCTTAATCTTTTTGTGTTTATAAATATCATATATTGTTAAGTGGCATAATTAATCTAGACTTAATAATTGTTAATCGGTAATAATTAACTATTAAGGGTAGTTAAATAACAGTTTATTAACTGTTATAATGTGTCTTATACATATGTAAATTGTTGAACTTCAATAGACATGATGAATTATTAATCCTCTCTTCTGTGTACATGTGCATTGTTTTTTTTCTCAAAGGGGACAGCCCTTAATTGCAGTAATCTTCCTGCAATTTAGTGACAGCACTCTTCTGCAACAAAGTGGTATCAGAGTCACGGTTCATTGATAGAAACCGTGCGAAGGAATTGACAAAAAAAATCGTAGATGGCTTCTCAAAACAACAATCTATCACAGCCCCAACTTCTCAAGATCTGTGGAACATCGTCGAGAATGGTGTACACGAACCATCAAACCAAACGGGTTTGACTGCACAACAAACCACAAAACTGAAGAAAAGAAGAAAAAAAGATAGGAAAGCATTATTCTTCATTTATCAAGCAGTAGATGAGGCCATATTTGAGAGGATCTCAACATCACATTCAACGAAGGATGCTTGGGATATGTTATACAAGACCTATCGGGGAGAGGATAGGGTTAAGACCATACGCTTACAAACCTTACGCTGTGAATTAGACAACTTGAGAATGAAAGAATCTGAATCAATTGAGGAGTTCTACAATCGGGTGATTGTCTTGATAAATCAAATGAGATTGAATGGAGATACTATTGAAGATAAACGTATCATCGAGAAAATATTAAGAAGCCTGACCCGAAAGTTTGAATATGTTGTAGTAGCAATCGAAGAATCCAAAGACTTATCTACACTCTCCCTAGAAAGTCTACTGGGAACACTGCAGTCCCATGAATTACGAATGAAACAGTTTGACATGCCTCAAGTTGATCAGGCATTTCAAACACATAATCCATCAAAGGGAATTACTAATGAAAAAGGAAAAGGATGAAACTTTATTAAATGGAAAGGACAAGGAAGAGGACGTGGAAGAGGCTCGTTTGGAGAGCATGTTCAAGACGATCATGGTGAGGGATCTTCACGAGGAAGAGGACGAGGAAGACCTCTATCTYAAGTAYAGTGTTACCGATGCCTAAGATATGGTCACACCRGYAGATTTTGCAAAAACAAACAAATTGAAGAGGGTAAGGATGCAATTTTCATGTACAAGAAAGAAAGTAAGAATGATGATATGATGTTTATGGCTCGTGAAGAACAAGATATATCTCTAGATGAGATATGGTATCTTGACAGTGGTTGTAGTAACCACATGACAGGTAATAAAAAAATKKT